AGTTGTTTGAGACACTAGGATTTTCATTAATTTTCATACTAAATTAATAATTCCATTCATGGCAGTACAAAACCTAGCATACAAACTTTATCTTTTGTATAAATTCAGTTTATTTGAGTTGATAATTACTTGTCTATCTCTAGATAATTATTTCGGTTAAGAGCCGCTTGAGAGATTTCGTTGGGGTCAAAAGCTGACAATTTTACCACCCTCAACACACCATTCAAACAACAACGTATCCATTGTTTCCCCAAAATAGCGTCGCATCTTACCCTAAGCCCTTTTAGCAAACATTGTCGCTTTCTCAAACAAACGAGACCTAAACTCGGTGGCAAAAAATGAGACATTGATCGATTTCTTTCACAAGCCCAACACCCAATGATAATTAACAACAGTAATTGGCTATTTAATTACACACAAAGCTCCTTGTTAGCGCTACTGCTTTTACGAGTTCAATCTAATTACTCCGAAATTATTCATATCGAGTAAAAATGATGAATGTAGGTATCTTTTTGGAATATATAAATTCGTGAATCTCTCCCCTTCTTTACATTATCCAATAAAATTCGTCCAAAATGAACGCATTTATCAAAATTACTATGAATGGTATCGTTCCGACAACGGGAATAAAGCAGGCGATATCATCTATTCGAAATATTATTTCTTGTATTCCAGACGCGTGTGTGTTGCTTTTCAATTTCTATAAATACGAATCCACTGGGCTGAAGTTGATTGATGAGAAGCCCCAGTTTCAAGTGCATCATCGATGAAACATTGCAATCGAACTGAAAACACCAAGAAGTTTTTCAAACTAACAACATTGGAGTTTTTTCAGACTGTTACCTATTGAATATCTTTAAATTTTTGATTTTCATGAAATGAACAAATTAATTTTTTATAAGAAAATACAAGTAATAATAAAAATATAATATTTCAAACAAAAACATTTCAAGTTTACTACTTGTACATAAAAACTATTTATTTAGTTGTTGAGGTATGTATGTACATGTTTCGTTTGAACGACATCTTCAGCCTCTTAACAGGTTAGAATAGCATTTGACAAAATTATATTTTTATTTGAAAATACAAAGAATCACATTTTATGATGTTAATATTCTATTTTGTTGTGATTTTAATAAAAGGAAGAGCTCTTTCCAAACCGGTTGTGTAACAATTTTTTTTACAGCGTGTCTTAAAAGCAAGCGCCAACCAGTGATAAAAGTGTCATTTTGAGAAAAAAAAGTTTAATTTTTTTTTATTCGTTAAAGACTTACAGCTTAGCAAAGAGTAACAATTAATTTTCTACTAGTTGGTCGTGATAAATTAAAACCGATAACATTTAAGAAATTGCTTAGTTCTCTTTTAATTGGTATACTGCTAATGAACAAAAAAAACTAATTAAAAAAATGTTAAGACATAATAACAATTACAGAAATTGACAATATTAATTAAATGTGACTTGGAACTAAGCAATCGTTTTTACTTTTTTGTTTTACTAGAAGTGACATCAATTTCAGTTTTTTGAATGGAAATAGAATGTGAAAATAAAATTAAATAAAGCAGGCTGTGGAAAGAACAGAACATTTTTATTCATTTCATCTAAGACAAGTAAAAACGACTGATAACTTTGATCAATTTTGATAAAAAAGTAAAAAACGCTTGGGGTGTTTTTTTTATAATCCAGCTTGTATATTGGATTGTTTTTACTAATGAACATCTTTAAATCATTGATTTTTGTAAGTTTTAAGAAATGAACAAATCAATTTTTTATCATTTTTTATAAAAAAATACGACAGAACAAACAAAAAATATAATAAAAAATTACTTGTACATAAAAACTATTTTTTATTTAGTTGTTGAGGTACATGTTTTGTTTGAACGACATCTTCAGCCTCTTAACAGGTTAGAATAGCATTTGACAAAAAAATTTTTTTTTGTGAAAATACAAAAAATTACACTTTAAGATGTCAATACTCGATTTTGTTGTGATATTAATAAAAGAGAGAAAGAGTTGTTACCAAACCAGTTGTGTAACAATTTTTTTATCAGGATGTCCCAAAAGTAAACGTCAACTAGTGATAAAAAATGTTATTTTGAGAAAAAAAGTTTATAGTTTTTTTTTCTATTTTTATTCGTTGAAACGATCACATTAAAAAACTTGCTTAGTTCTAAGTCTCCTTTAATTGATATACTGTCAATGAATGAAAAGGCTTTAATTAAAAAAAAAGACATAATTATTACAAAAATTGTCAATATTAACAATATTAATTGAATAAGACTTGAAGCTAAGCAATTGTTTAATAAGTGTCATCGTTGTTAATTTTTTGTTTTACTACAAGTCAAATGGAAATATAATTTGAAAATAAAATAAATTAAAGTAGGCTGTGGAAAGAATAGAACATTTTTATTCCTAATTTTTATCATATCCCATAACAAAATGCGAAATTATAATAAAAAATAACATTTGAAACAACATAATAAAAAATAATAATAACGTAAGGCCACTAATTAATATGGAAAAAAGTATATAAAAACAAAATGATACTTGCTACATTATCAAAGTCAAATTTCTGTTGCAAAGTTGGACCTCAAACTAGTAATTTATAGGGTAATGGATTTTGCAGGCCAAACCGGAATTTAGGTGAGATTATTAGCTCGCATTATTCACCCGGTTTTCACTTGGGGGTAGTGTGTAATTGCATATTTTCTTGAAATTATTTGTTGGCTAATTAACTAAATTGGAGGTGATTACTTTTGAAATAAAATTAGAAAAGGTTAAAGGAGTAGTAACAGTTTCTGTGCTTGTTAATTTTTTTATTAATTCACTTTACTCGAAATAATTAATAATGACATAAAGCGCGTCTGATACCGGCGGGCTTTCAATTCCCTTGTTGCCAAAGTTGGTGGCATTGTTGCCAGTTTAGTCTGATACCCGGAAGCGTCCTTGTAACTATCTGCAAACAGAGCGTCGCAATTCATATATCTATTGTATGTATATCCTCGAGCTCGACCGGTGAGAGTTTTATTTACAAATCAAAACTTTGATGAGAGGCCGTAGGGGCGGAAAAACACAAAGCCTGTGTTTATTGAAACGGTTCAATTAGCAAACGTTCGTTCTGAATTTACATAAAATATTGCCGAATGCCAATTATATTTTCAATATGTTCAACACAACAGTTTCATTTTGTACCGAATAAATTTCGGCTAGCAATTTTGTATCACTTGGTTCACGACAGGTGTGCTTGAATGGCAAATAAAGCGCCAGAGGGTGGGGGATTACCATAAAAACTGCATCAGACACGATGCTAATAATTGTTGGAGATTTTCTCGCCCGGCGCATCCACCATTTTTCCACCAAGCTAAACGCAATTTTGCACCGAAGATATTTTATTTCTTGAAATATCTAAACAGGTTTTGCAGAATTGAAACAAAAACTAAAACTAGAAACTAGAAATGTACTCGTTTTGAAGACAGAAGATCGACTTTCTCTACAATTATTATGTGTGACGTTGAATTTTTTTTGCTATCACGTTTGATGACATCTTTTATATAAACTTGCACAAAAAAGTTTTCTGCAATTAGAAAATTCTATAACACAATTATATAACAGTTATACAAGGTTTTTTAAAAAGATTGTAAAATATTTAAGGAGGTAACAGTGTGGACCAAAATAAACAAAAAAGTTTTAATAACGGTTTTGGAGATATCGAAGATTTTCTGGGATGTTAAATATCGTCTACATAACTAAAATTTCTATTCTAAGTTAAAATTTGTCATGCGTCATAATACATAACAATCATACCGGTTACCGGTTATACAGATTGTGTCAGGAAAAAAAATTCAAATAAAATAAGATAAATTTTGCCAATAAAAGCTACAAATAACATTAAACAAAGTTACAATTTAAGATACAACTTCTTTGTTTCCTTTTCTATTAGTCTGTATTAAAAAATCTTGAAATGTTATTTTTCTAACGGAAATAAATAGCCAAAGTTCAAAACTTAAACTCTCATAACTTCGTAATGGTTATGGATAGAATTTTTTTTAACATTTTTTCCATGTTTCTGGTATCTTACTTTACATGGCATTTTTCTCTGAGGCGCAATTTCTTGCGCATCCTGTATAACTATTTTGTAAAGTTTTTTGATTAAGTTTTCAATAACAATTGTTTTGAAGCTTTAGAACTTTATACAACTTGAGTTTTTTACTTGATATAATTGTCATCTGTCTAAATCTTCAAACCGCCATTGTACAAAACTAAATATTTAACTTATGAAAACTGGTAAAAAATGTGTTTTTCATTGATTTTTTTTCAATTATTTTTTTTTTAACAAAAATAAATACAAAGTGCAAAATTTAAGCTCTCATAACTTCGAAATCGTTATAGATAGATTTTTTTTACATTTTGCCCATGTTCCTGGTATCTTACCTTACATGGTATTTTTTTCTGGGGCGCGAGTTCTGGCGCACCCTGTATAAGCTGAATCTAACATAATTATAGTTAGGTGTGCTTCTAGGGATGCTATAATTAATCATTATATTCCCATTAATAGAATAGTGTGTTGAAAAGTGTTAACCTTGTTTATGGCAAGAAAGTTTAATAAAAATTAAAAAGAGCAGTTTTTTTAGCCGTTATTTTCTTTATTAGCCTTAATTTTAATTGCCGCATTTTATATTCATAATAATTAACTCTCTGTAAAAAGTTTATTTCCCTAAAGCGACAAAAAGCGCTTTCAAACTTTAAGCTCGCTAACTTTTCATCATTTGTAAACGTTTTATAAATAAGATATTTCCACCTAAAGAAAAAAAAACTTTCATTAATTTTTGTTATTGTTCTTTTACTTTGATATTCACGTATTTGTGTCTATGTTCTACATCATTTTCATAATTTATTAATCTATAAATCAGTATAAGGTTAAATTAATATAATATTATATACTGAATTTTCAGTAGCTGAAAAGTGTATTTTGTAGCAGTTAAAAATTTCAGTGTTGTTTCAGGAGTGGCCAGTCGCCATGTTTCCGTCGGTGGTGGTGTTCGCAGCCGCCTTAGGCCTGATCTCTGGTAAGTACAACATTGTAAATTATTCCGGTTGGGATTTAAATAGTTGACGGACGAGGTGGCAAATTCCGGATCTAAGTGGACCGGAAACTTTATTTGTCCCCGAAGCGGATGCAGATTAGTGGTAACATCAGGACAATAGAAGTGTGAAAATAACAGGTGGAAGAGAGGATAACCCAAAATAGCCTCAAGGCGACCCAATCTTGGCAATGTTATTTTTACTCAAACAAATTAAAAACGCGCCTTTTTAAATCGAAAATAAATATTTAGAGAGTCTTAATTTTGCAACGAATTGAAAATAAACAGTGAGACGAACATCTTTCCTGATTACAGTGAAATATTCAAAGCACATCCGTTCCCGGAACTTGCTTCTATCTCAGGTGAGATAATTCAGCATAATCCGGGTCCCTTCTGCTCTATAACTCCGGGCGAGATCAGTTAAGCACCTTTGGACTGCATTAATAAATTTTTCAGGACTAAGAAAATTGTGCTATTATCCTCTTCTATTATTGATTTAATTAACATTTAAATTTTTTATCTAAATTTATTCCGTATTCCGGACAAGAAGGCAAGTGTTTTACGAGTTTTTTATTTGCTGATCCTTAAAGTTGCGAACTTTGTTTAAGTCTAGATTAAAAGTTATCAAGAGCACAACGTTGAATTTCAATTTTTTGTAAGTGGTGATTTTACACCAAATTCTGCTTTTTTGGAATTTAATCGCTTTATGAATTTTACATTTTACTCAATGCTCATAATTGCATTTGAAATTAGCAGAATTTTAAATGCCGTTTTGGAATGAATTATTTGTCAGGTTTGGCGAATAATTTATGACCTGTAATGGCAAAGTTAATTGTTAAAGTTTGACGTGCTATTATTGATTATGACAGGCAAGATTCTTCTATGATCAATTGAAATTTTATCGTGAAAACAGTTTTCTTAAAGTTGGATTTTTTGGTAAAACAATACCAAAAATGGCAGAGAGGTGGAGAATTAATGTACAAAACGGAAGAATAATAGCGAGGTCAAAGCGTAACACATGTAAAATCTGCACAAAAAAGTGAAATGAGATTCAAAGCTTCCGGGTGTACAAATTAATTATTCATAAAACATGAGGGTACTAAATTCTGTAAAAATTCGGGTCGCTCACATAGAAATTCCGCCACTAATCTAAATGATTCATTGTTTAACAAATGAGTTCCTTAATTTTCGCTTGAAGATTAATCAAGACGGCGTGGAATAAGCCCGCAACTAATTCTATCGCAACGAGATGGCGGTGTTAGTAATTAGAGTGGTGGGGGGAGGTGGTGTCACACATACCGGTTTAATTAGATGGGTTACTGCTTTTATCACATTTATTCAAACGTCAAAAGCTGCTCTCTTATCGATCCGGCCCTTTAAATATGCATGGAATAAATTATTATGGTAAAATTTGAACCATTAAATCGCTCGTCATTGTTTTTTTCTATTGTTCCCGCATGACGGGCTTAAATGTCCCCGGAAACTTTCCAAATACAAACAAATTGTTGTGAAGTTTGATCAAATAGTGTGAAGTAATTATTGCTGAGAGGAAGTTTTAATCATTTATCATTTCCCTGTTTCGGAGTTTCTGTTATTCAAGTTTCAAACTTTTCGTGCTTTATTTTGCCGAAACTGGAAATTAAAAAAAAATCTCTTCGACATGTGTTTCCCTTATTATAATTTCAACAGTTTTGTTTAAATTTGGCACAGTAAATCAGAAAACCGATAAACTTGGAACGTGAAAGTTCGTAATGAAAAATCTATTAGAGTTTAGTAAGAATTTGTTTGGAAAAGCTCTCAACTTTAATAAAAAGAATTGTGTAGAATGTAATGTTGAAAAATATAAATATGGTTAAAAAATATCAATATGGTGGCGTTTTCTGCTTTTTTCGTCAAAAAACAACATGGGAAATCGAAGCGTTCAAATAATAAACTTTTAATTTCAACTCAGATCTGCTATTACCTCCATCATTTAATAAAGTTGGCAGGATTGATCGTGTTAGGACAACTTTGCAGTTTTACCAACAAAAACAACTAAAACACTACAATTTTAGAAACTCGTTTCGTAAATAATCCACGTCGTGTATTATTTATTATCATCTGTTGTATCTATATTTTTTCCGGACAGGTTACGTGTCATAAATTAGGATTGCGTCGTGATGTATCCATCGCGTCGCGACGCCATCATTCCCCATCCCAGTTACAAATGCATCTGATATTTACAGCGTGTCTCAAATAAAAATTTGCCAAAAAGACTTTATTATTTTTTTCTTTGACTTGCTTTATCTATTTTTCGATTATTATTTTTTTTGTAAATATTTTCTAATAAACTATTTACTATTTTTTTCTTTTACTACATCATTTCTACTACATTATTTTTTACAAATAATTTTCCAAATTTTTTTGCTATAGGCTACTAGACGAGAAAACAAGGAAGCTGTATCCTNNTTTTATTGGCAAAATTTTTGTACCTTTACTAAATAATTATAAAAAAAACATATACTAGATCATCAATATCACTAAATAGACATAAAAAAATGTCAAATTTAAAAAAATAAATGTTAAAATGTTTTTTAGAAATAGATTTTCTTGAAATATTTTTTCCATGTTCCTGATATCTTAACTTGCTTGAAATTTTTTTCTGCTCCGAAGTTCTGACACTCTGTATTTATACAGTCCCCGGATTGAGTTTACAAGAGAAAAAAAAAATATCTTTGATTTTACGGCAAAACTGCATAGGAAAAACATTTTTCGCTTCACCTGAAACGTGCAAATCTGTACTTAAAACTTCATTATTCTGATACCGTGAAAAAAAAAGTTAATTTTTTTCTTGATTTTGGAACCGCCAATGTGATAGGACTTAAAAAGCAGAGAAAAATCATTATATATTATAAGTCCAAAATCAAGAGAAAAATGAACTTTTCTTTCTACTGAATTAGAATAATGAAGTTTTAATAACAGAAGCAAAAACTTTTTTTCCTTTGTAGTTTTGGCATAAATTTTGGCATAATAAAAATTTTTTTTTTCTTATGTAAACTCAATCTGGAGACATACTGTATAATAAGTAATAAATAATAAATAGTAAATAAATAAATATAATAAATTTTACTTTATCTTTGTAGTATGTTTTGAGTTTTACATTATTTTTATTTTGTCGCTGTTTTTTTTCGTTTTTTGTTTAATTGTTATTGATGTTATCGTTTTTTATTTTATTATAATTTACGCTTTGTTACTTTCTTTTATTATTATTTTTGACTTATTTGTGTATTGTTTTACGAGTTTATTGGTTGGTATTATGTTTTATTTTTATTTTATTTCACTTTCTACTATTCTGTTATTAGTATTGTATTCAATTTTTTAAATATGCATTACTTATGTATTACTTTATTTTTTGTTTTAATTGATACGTTGTGAATAAAAAATCGTGTTACAAATATATTAACATCTTTATTGTAGATTCATTACACATTGTATTTGACAATATTGTTGTATTTGTGGTATTCTGAGAAATCGTAGAGTTGATTGTGGTTTTTCCAGTAGTTATTAATTGCCTCGACGATGGCATCAATGGCACCTCCAACAACACCTTCCATCACTTCCAAAATCACATTCTTCATCAGAGAAGTGACCAATTTTGTCAACAAGTTGAGTAGCCAATCAACGATTGCATGCCCAGTAAATTTGAACTGAACTTTTCTGCGTAAAGAATGTTTTTTGATAAACTTCTACAAAAAATTTGAAAAACACTCACCCAGAATTAGAAATGCTGAAATTCTCTAAAGTCAAAACTTTCTTTTTGAAGTCAAATCCAACTTCCAAATTCATGTTAAGATCGGTAACAGTGCCCTCAATTCCTCCTTTGGGCCCCAATCCCATGATTTTGGCACTGTAGTCGTATGTAAACTACAAAATTTTTATGTTTTTTTTTTAAATTAAATTTGGTGTTTCTTACTCCAAGATGTTGGAATCCTATTCCGACTCCAACACTGGCAGTTTGGGCCAATAAATCATATTTGAATGTTGCGTCGTCACTACGATGGAGTGTTGAAAAACCCAGCAATTTACCATTGGTCAAATCCAGTTCTCCATGATATGTTACAATTAGGGTCTGTAAGTTTTTTAGTTTAGACACATTTTTTAAATTTTTTTACAACTTACATAGTTGAATCCTGCATGCATGTCATGGAGTGACAATGGATCGACATGTTTTGCCATCCAACCATCAATAATTGTAAACATTTTGTCAATGCAAGCATTTACGTTGTCTTGAATAGAGCCACCGAGTCTAAAATTAATAAAAAACAACATTGAAAAAATTAAAGTATTAAAAACTTACGCGCTAGGCTTACAGATGGAAATAATATCTTTCCATTCTTCATCAGAAACTGTCAATTCCTTGAAAAGTTGTTTCTTGATATTTGGGATATTTCTGAAAACGATTTCCTCAAATGCAAAGTCAACATCGTTTTGTGGAAATGGAGAGGCGCAAATGCAGACTATTAACAAAGCTGCAATGACTAGTTTTCTCATCTTGGTTGATTTATTTTTTGTTGTTTGGACGATTTGAAAGAAGGCTGATTTTGGTTTGGTGAAGAATTCGCAATGGTGGGTTTATATAGGGAGTCTTATCATTGATTTTACTATTTTCGTTAATCAATAATTAAAATTAATTAAAATCATGAGATTGATTGAGTGATAAAATACGTGATTTTCATTCAATGTGACATTTTGCTAGAAAAATGGAGTATTTTCAAGTTACTAATCTTATCTTGAGATTGACTTTAATTAAGAAAAGAAAACCGAAATGATTTTGTCTAGATTTCTAGATAATATATTGTGTGTAATGTTTATAAATAAAATGTTTACTATTACAAAACAAATATAAATTATAACTATTAAGATTATTCTAAAAACAGATTGAAGAATGTTTGAATGATTGAAGAAAGTTAAACTAAAAAGAGAGTAAAAATATGGTAGCAGGAGTATCAAATTAA